AGAGGTTGATAGGCCTTAATAACCCTCCAGAGGTTGATAGGCCTTAATAACCCTCCAGAGGTTGATAGGCCTTAATAACCCTCCAGAGGTTGATAGGTCTTAATAACCCTCCAGAGGTTGATAGGCCTTAATAACCCTCCAGAGGTTGATAGGCCTTAATAACCCTCCAGAGGTTGATAGGCCTTAATAACCCTCCAGAGGTTGATAGGCCTTAATAACCCTCCAGAGGTTGATAGGTCTTAATAACCCTCCAGAGGTTGATAGGCCTTAATAACCCTCCAGAGATTGATAGGCCTTAAAAACACTTTGATGCACCCGGTACCCGCGAAAAAACTCTGTGCATTGTGCGCGCGGCGTTTTTTTCTCATGAGCGTAAACACCAAACAGTGTGTAATCTTTTCACTCTCCTGACACTAATTCTCGAGCTACGTATTTCCTTTTGGTATCAATGTGTTGGCAATAAAATTCTCTACAAGATCATATGTATAAAATGTAACCAAAGCATTAGCTATTCCACCACGAAATAAATAAAAACGTAGATCACTGGCTGTCTCGCCGTACGCCCAAACAGCTACAAAATGTTCATACTCTTTTGTTTGTTGTCAGCTCCACATTAGTCCTACAGCGTTAAATTTTATATCACTGAACTCGCAATAAAATTATCTACACAGACATATGCATATAAATGTAGAATCATGATTGCGGCCAACACAAGAGTGTGTGAAGTGGGCGATTACCCTCGTTGTGTCACCAACTCAATAGTCTCTCCTTTAAGTTACAATACAATGCCGTTTTCTCAAATAGGCACCGTGCCTATTACAAAAAACGGAAATTTAATGGCAAACATATTCATACAAACCCCAAGTCGATCGAGTAGTATATACCCACTATAACACGGACCGTAAATGTACGACGCGACCCCACAAGCGCTTAAATAAACCGCCCGTACATCCAAGTGTAAGGGGCAGGAAAGTGTTTATTAATAACCCTCCAGAGGTTGATAGGCCTTAATAACCTCCAGAGGTTGATAGGCCTTAATAACCCTCCAGAGGTTGATAGGCCTTAATAACCCTCCAGAGGTTGATAGGCCTTAATAACCCTCCAGAGGTTGATAGGTCTTAATAACCCTCCAGAGGTTGATAGGTCTTAATAACCCTCCAGAGGTTGATAGGCCTTAATAACCCTCCAGAGGTTGATAGGCCTTAATAACCCTCCAGAGGTTGATAGGTCTTAATAACCCTCCAGAGGTTGATAGGTCTTAATAACCCTCCAGAGGTTGATAGGTCTTAATAACCCTCCAGAGGTTGATAGGTCTTAATAACCCTCCAGAGGTTGATAGGCCTTAATAACCCTCCAGAGGTTGATAGGTCATAATAACCCTCCAAAGGTTGATAGGTCATAATAACCCTCCAGAGGTTGATAGGTCTTAATAACCCTCCAGAGGTTATTAAGTTAGCATCTGGTTAGGTTAGAGAGGTTCAGCTTCACCTGTGTTCAGGGGTGCGGCTCACACTGCCTAGTTGTCACGTGTACACAGCCCCTCTTGAGCCGCCGTGACTCCCCGCACTCTCCTTACTGTGGGATGATCTCTCAGTCTCCCTTAGTTATAGTCAACTATCACCCGAGTTATTGCCTTGTGTCTCTCTTACTAGCCAGGGAGCCTCACCAGGACTAGAGCAAAAACCATCCATCATACGAGACATTTAATACATAAACACATACAAAATATATATATACAAGAATAGTGATATTACTATACAAGTCCTTAGGCTGCTACCAACAGATAATACTCCAATATTCCCTTAAGTCTTCATCCTATAACCGTACTGAGTTGTTGCTCACTCCTCGGCTCACAACCTACCGCTCCCTTCACTGTTGTGGGCTGAAATACAGGGTACAAAAATATTCCTATACCTCGTACTGTAAACAGACCTCGACCTCTCACCTTGCACTGCGCCTTTCACGCCAAAAAACACAATCAAGCGCTCCCTTAACCCTCAATGTGTCCGAACGGTCCTCTGTTGTATTCCTCGAGGTCCACTATCAAATACATCTGTCTGGGTCCTCAAAATCAGGTTAGGTACTCCAGGCAGTTCCTCCGGTCTGCTGCATCCGAAGTCCTCCTCGAATGTCAGTGACGCTCTCTCACACGGCTTCACACAAAGGACGTGTAGCTCTCTACACTACTTGAAGATTCACTGTCTATGGAGTTCCGCTCCTCACTGGAGCGGAACTGGAAGTGCTATTCCACCTTGCAGTTTAGCTCCCACGATGAGTTTCAGCTCACACTTGGCGTTCAGTATACACTCCTCCTCTGGTACGACGTCCCTTCACTAACTTCTCCCACAAACCATGCCAATATAAAGTGTTGTCCTGACCAATCACAAATAAATGTATTTACAGCAAATAAACTCCTCCACCCGACATCCTTTCAAACAGTACGGCGTCGCTGCGAGGTGGGTCCTCCCCCACCCTGGACGGGTCCACCTGGGGCCTCCCCCCACCCTGGACGGGTCCACCTGGGGCCTCCCTCAGTTGCTGACCAGACACTGGACAGTGAGGATGCGCCACTATCGCCTCCAGTATGTCCACTCAACTTAAATATCCTATTTCACCACAATGGCTCAATAAAATCTCTACCTTATATATACATATGTTCACTATGATCACTGAACACACGATCAAACACTGGTAGCTAGTCTAACAAACTATTAAACAGGCTTACCACAGGGATCTATGGCGTAGGGGCGATCAGGCCCTGGCGCTCAGACAGCTTACAAAATCACTATAGGACTGCTTCACAAGGCTTCTTCTAGTCCTGACTTGAGTACACAGAGTCGCCCAGCAGCTCCACAACAAAAGCACCTGCTTGCTTCCTTCCTCTTGAAGAAGCAACACAATTAGAGCTCCGCAAAGGCGTGAACAAACACTCTCACGTCGCCTCTAATTTATCCAAATCACAAAAAAATTGGTGTACTATGTCCCCAACAGCTTCCTCACACTTGCAGACAAGCAGCCTTCACTCCAGCACTAACACAGGGAACTATATTCTTCCTCCTTCCAGGCGATCAACACAGTACAACCACCTCTGACGACTGCTGTACCTCAAGTGAGGTCATGACCTCCTCCTACCATCATTTCATGCCGCCAAAGTATCGACATCTCATTTCATCTTACTTATTACCAACACTCATCCTCTGCCAGTGTCCTGAGATCACTCACTGACGTTTACTCAATTATTTACTATATACATCTTTCCTCTGACCTCTCAATCAGGTCCTGAAGACAGAACAACTCTGACTGGAGTAGACTCGTTCCCCCCCCCCCAGGCTACATGGGGTCATGACACAATGAAGTTAAATATTTTTTGTTAAGACGTCTTCCAATATGCAGGTCCATGTCCAATATGTCCAGGTCTCACACCTTCATCAAAACAAGGGCTGGGACCTCTGACAAGCCGCTGGCTTACTCTCCCCGTACATGCGAGATGGTGGTCCTCAGGTAAATACAGGTAATTCAATAACATTGTGTTCAACAGAGGTTACCTTGAGGTGCTTCCGGGGCTTAGCGTCCCCGCGGCCCGGTCGTCAACCAGGCCTCCTGGTTGCCGGACTGATCAACCAGGTTGTTGGACGCGGCTGCTCGCAGCCTGACGTATGAGTCACAGCCTGGTTGATCAGGTATCATTTGGAGGTGCTTATCCAGTTCTCTCTTGTACACTGTGAGGGGTCGGCCAGTTATGCCCCTTATGTGTAGCGGAAGCGTGTTGAACAGTCTCGGGCCTCTGATGTTGATAGAGTTCTCTCTCAGAGTACCTGTTGCACCTCCGCTTTTCAACGGGGGTATTCTGCACATCCTGCCATGTCTTCTGGTCTCATGTGATGCTATTTCTGTGTGCAGGTTTGGGACCAGCCCCTCTAACCTTCCACCCTCTAATAGAGGGTGGAAGGTCACTACAGAGGTCAGCCAGGTCAGGCAGACGGCGCCCCCAGCAGACAACACCACCCTCCGTCTGCGCCCCGGGGACTCCAGCCTCCCCTACGAGGACTCCAGCTCCCGGCCCCAGCCCTCACCACCTGGGCACCCCGCCACACCAAAGCTCGGAAATACCGACAATCCTCCATTGAAGAAAATTTTGTTCTGGAACGAAGTAAGAATATTTAATATTTTGTCGTGATATTTCTGAGTATTATAAGTGTAGATATTTGTTATTATCACCTCCTGTTACACCTACACACGCACACACACACACACACACACACACACACACACACACACACACACACACACACACACACACACACACACACACACACACACACACACACACACACACACACACACACACACACACACACAACCTGTCTGTGGTGGGGTGAGCCTGTGGCTGAGTGGACAGCACTTAGGACTCGTAATCCCAGGGTCCGGGTTCGATACCGGCGCTGGTGGAAACAGATGGCCTAGAGATATATAAAGTCTAAGATAAAAGATCCTCCAGTTTACATGGTGACAGTCTCAACATATAAGTATACACATATATATATATATATATATATATATATATATATATATATATATATATATATATATATATATATATATATATATATATTAACAGTTACATTAACGTTAATAACACTGGCACTTCTCCCTTAAGCGGTTTGCTACTGAGTTAAACAGCTCAATGACAGTAATTATAGACTTAATTTACAAAGTTGAGACACAGTGTGCATCAATAATATTCTGTACACACACTGGGACACATCAGTAGACACACTGGAAATGTTCACACTGAACACCAAGAGAACAAGAGAACACGGGTGGACGCTGGAGACTCAGACGAGTCACCCACACGTTACGAAGTTTTCTTTTAGCGGGAGAGTCGAGAGAAAACGGAATAAACTAAAGGCGCAGGTTGTAGAGGCAAACCCAATTAATAATGTTAATAGTTATTATAATAGAGAAACAGGTTGTTGTAGACACGTGTTCCTGTCCTACAGGTGTGGGGGGAGAGGAACTTTTACTTCGGGTTTGGTCAGGAGCCGTTCGTGAGAGCCGGGTGTCGGGTGACGGCCTGCACCACCACGGCCGACCGGACCGCCTTCCCTCTCCGTGATGTAGACGCCATACTCTGGCACATTCCCTCCAGGGACATGACCTTCCCTGGGGAGAGGTGATGCTGTTTGGTCACTGTGTATGAGAGTGTTTGGTCCACTGTGTATGAGAGTGTTTGGTCCACTGTGTATGAGGGTGTTTGGTCACTGTGTATGAGGGTGTTTGGTCACTGTGTATGAGAGTGTTTGGTCCACTGTGTATGAGGCTGTTTGGCCACTGTGTATGAGGGTGTTTGGTCACTGTGTATGAGAGTGTTTGGTCCACTGTGTATGAGAGTGTTTGGTCCACTGTGTATGAGGGTGTTTGGTCACTGTGTATGAGAGTGTTTGGACCACTGTGTATGAGGGTGTTTGGTCACTGTGTATGAGGGTGTTTGGTCACTGTGTATGAGGCTGTTTGGTCCACTGTGTATGAGAGTGTTTGGTCCACTGTGTATGAGGGTGTTTGGTCCACTGTGTATGAGAGTGTTTGGTCCACTGTGTATGAGGGTGTTTGGTCACTGTGTATGAGAGTGTTTGGTCACTGTGTATGAGGGTGTTTGGTCCACTGTGTATGAGAGTGTTTGGTCCACTGTGTATGAGGCTGTTTGGCCACTGTGTATGAGGGTGTTTGGTCACTGTGTATGAGAGTGTTTGGTCACTGTGTATGAGAGTGTTTGGTCACTGTGTATGAGAGTGTTTGGTCACTGTGTATGAGAGTGTTTGGACCACTGTGTATGAGGGTGTTTGGACACTGTGTATGAGAGTGTTTGGTCACTGTGTATGAGAGTGTTTGGTCACTGTGTATGAGAGTGTTTGGTCCACTGTGTATGAGGGTGTTTGGTCCACTGTGTATGAGGGTGTTTGGTCACTGTGTATGAGGCTGTTTGGTCACTGTGTATGAGGGTGTTTGGTCCACTGTGTATGAGGCTGTTTGGTCACTGTGTATGAGAGAGTTTGGTCCACTGTGTATGAGGCTGTTTGGTCACTGTGTATAAGGGTGTTTGGCCACTGTGTATGAGGGTGTTTGGTCCACTGTGTATGAGGATGTTTGGTCACTGTGTATAAGGGTGTTTGGTCACTGTGTATGAGAGTGTTTGGTCCACTGTGTATGAGGGTGTTTGGTCACTGTGTATGAGAGTGTTTGGTCCACTGTGTATGAGGGTGTTTGGTCACTGTGTATGAGAGTGTTTGGTCACTGTGTATGAGAGTGTTTGGTCCACTGTGTATGAGAGTGTTTGGTCACTGTGTATGAGAGTGTTTGGTCCACTGTGTATGAGAGTGTTTGGTCCACTGTGTATGAGAGTGTTTGGTCCACTGTGTATGAGAGTGTTTGGTCCACTGTGTATGAGGGTGTTTGGTCACTGTGTATGAGAGTGTTTGGTCCACTGTGTATGAGAGTGTTTGGTCCACTGTGTATGAGTGTTTGGTCCACTGTGTATGAGAGTGTTTGGTCACTGTGTATGAGGGTGTTTGGTCCACTGTGTATGAGGGTGTTTGGTCCACTGTGTATGAGGCTGTTTGGTCACTGTGTATGAAGGTGTTTGGTCACTGTGTATGAGGGTGTTTGGTCACTGTGTATGAGAGTGTTTGGTCCACTGTGTATGAGGGTGTTTGGTCACTGTGTATGAGAGTGTTTGGTCACTGTGTATGAGAGTGTTTGGTCACTGTGTATGAGGGTGTTTGGTCACTGTGTATGAGGGTGTTTGGTCACTGTGTATGAGGGTGTTTGGTCACTGTGTATGAGGCTGTTTGGTCACTGTGTATGAGGGTGTTTGGTCACTGTGTATGAGAGTGTTTGGTCCACTGTGTATGAGAGTGTTTGGTCACTGTGTATGAGGGTGTTTGGTCCACTGTGTATGAGAGTGTTTGGTCACTGTGTATGAGGCTGTTTGGTCACTGTGTATGAGAGTGTTTGGTCCACTGTGTATGAGGGTGTTTGGTCCACTGTGTATGAGGGTGTTTGGTCACTGTGTATGAGGCTGTTTGGTCACTGTGTATGAGGGTGTTTGGTCACTGTGTATGAGGGTGTTTGGTCACTGTGTATGAGAGTGTTTGGTCCACTGTGTATGAGAGTGTTTGGTCACTGTGTATGAGGGTGTTTGGTCCACTGTGTATGAGAGTGTTTGGTCACTGTGTATGAGGCTGTTTGGTCACTGTGTATGAGAGTGTTTGGTCCACTGTGTATGAGGGTGTTTGGTCCACTGTGTATGAGGCTGTTTGGTCCACTGTGTATGAGAGTGTTTGGTCACTGTGTATGAGGCTGTTTGGTCACTGTGTATGAGGGTGTTTGGTCACTGTGTATGAGGGTGTTTGGTCACTGTGTATGAGGCTGTTTGGTCACTGTGTATGAGGGTGTTTGGTCCACTGTGTATGAGGGTGTTTGGTCACTGTGTATGAGGGTGTTTGGTTCACTGTGTATGAGGCTGTTTGGTCACTGTGTATGAGGGTGTTTGGTCCACTGTGTATGAGGCTGTTTGGTCCACTGTGTATGAGAGTGTTTGGTCACTGTGTATGAGGCTGTTTGGTCACTGTGTATGAGGGTGTTTGGTCCACTGTGTATGAGGCTGTTTGGTCCACTGTGTATGAGAGTGTTTGGTCACTGTGTATGAGGCTGTTTGGTCACTGTGTATGAGGGTGTTTGGTCACTGTGTATGAGGGTGTTTGGTCCACTGTGTATGAGGCTGTTTGGTCACTGTGTATGAGGGTGTTTGGTCACTGTGTATGAGGGTGTTTGGTCCACTGTGTATGAGGCTGTTTGGTCACTGTGTATGAGAGTGTTTGGTCACTGTGTATGAGGCTGTTTGGTCCACTGTGTATGAGGCTGTTTGGTCACTGTGTATGAGGGTGTTTGGTCACTGTGTATGAGGCTGTTTGGTCACTGTGTATGAGGCTGTTTGGTCCACTGTGTATGAGGCTGTTTGGTCCACTGTGTATGAGGGTGTTTGGTCCACTGTGTATGAGGGTGTTTGGTCACTGTGTATGAGGCTGTTTGGTCACTGTGTATGAGGCTGTTTGGTCACTGTGTATGAGGGTGTTTGGTCCACTGTGTATGAGGGTGTTTGGTCACTGTGTATGAGGCTGTTTGGTCACTGTGTATGAGGCTGTTTGGTCACTGTGTATGAGGCTGTTTGGTCACTGTGTATGAGGGTGTTTGGTCACTGTGTATGAGGCTGTTTGGTCACTGTGTATGAGGCTGTTTGGTCACTGTGTATGAGGGTGTTTGGTCACTGTGTATGAGGGTGTTTGGTCCACTGTGTA